TAGCAGCAACATATGGCTTGATATCTGATAGCTCTCTCTCTCTCCAGATTGTCTTGGATATTCATATTCTTGGCCTTTTGCATTTCCATATAAATTTTAGGATCACTTTTCAATATCACAAAAACATGCTAGGAGTTTTATTTAGACATATAGATTAATTTGTGGATAATTGACTTTTTTTTTTTTTTTGCCAGTCCTGGGGCTTGAAGGGTCTAGGCACTGTCCCTGAGCTTCTTTTGCTCAAGGCTAGCACTCTACCACTTGAGCCACAGCACCACTTCTGGCTTTTTCTGTTTATGTGGTACTGGGGAATCGAACCCAGGGCTTCATAAATGCAAGTACTCTACCACTAAGCCACATTCCCAGCCCAAGAATTGATATTTTTTAACAATACTGAATCTACTAGTCCATAAACATTCTTGTGTAAGCTTAACGACACATTAGCTCTGTGCTAGTCACTGTTCTAAGATAAGAGGTTGGTCTCATCCTTGAAGGACTTACAACTGTATAAACAAATGCAGTTAACAAGACATAAGGTAACAGTAATCTCATCACTGGTAATATTTACTAAGTATCTAGTTTGATACCAAGGTATGATTTCAAGGACTTTACATTTTAATTCATTTGTATTTCATCCTGGTATTTTAAGGTGAAAGTACTAATTATGAAGGTTTTTATGTAAAATTGTATTATATTTTCAACTATATGATAGATGTGATTTCTGGTAGGCTTTCACAAATATGGAAAAAACTTTCAGCTTCTCTTTACACTTTGAAAGATTTTTATAGATTCATTAAAACCACTTGATTTAATTATTTCGTTACCAGTAAAGAGGGAAAATTTTAATTATTTCTCAAAAAATAATTAACATGGAGTTACAAGTCTTAATTACTTCCATTTCCATTTTTACAAAATCCTTTTTATTTTGTTTTATTTTGTTTTGCATTCCTAGGGATCAAACCCAAGTTCTAACCAATATGTTTTACCACTGAACTATACCACTGAGACCCATCAATATAGTTTTTAAAAACATATCAAAAACAGCCAGGGCACTGGTGGCTCATGCCTATAATCCTAGCTACTCAAGGAGGCTGAGATCTGAGGATCACAGTTCAAACCCAGCCTGGGCAGTAAAGTCAATGAGACTTTTATCTCCAATAAACCACCAGAAAACTGGAACTGGTGCTGTGGCTTAAGTGGTAGAGCATTAGCCTTGAGCTAAAGAGCTGAGGGACAGGCCCAGAGTTCAAGCTCCATGACCGACAAAACAACAACAGCAGCAACAACAAACATAACATAAACATTCCTTTTGCATTCAGGCAAGCATCTAAAAATACAAGGTAAGACTTCAAAGCAGCATAACAGATTTTCTTCTGTCACTCCCAAACTAGACTAGAAGGCAGTCTCCAGAAGTCCAGAAATGCATGTAAATATTATCATTTTAGTGAACAATCAAGGTCATTACCTTTAGCTATGAGGCTAGGGACCTAGTTGCTGTCTTGCATGGTGTCACTCAAATAAGTCTGTCAGCTTGTGAACATCAGAAACCTCATGCAGAAAGCAAAAGGTTGAACCAGTTCATCTTCAGTATACCTCCCAGTAATGATGTAATGCCAAGCAATCAGAGCAACATGTTTTCAGCTGTCTGGGGATAGAGACTTCAGAGCCTATATTCAATAGATAGTAATTGTATTTATGTATCTATGTTTACATATTTGAGTCTTACTTGGTAGATCTCTTTTTTCTCATAAGCCTGTGGGCATTAAACACACTGTTTAACTGTTTCTGTTTTTGGCACTCGAAAGTTTCCTAAAGGATGTACTTTTTATTTTCATTTCTACTGTCTTTCATTTCTACTGTTGAGAAGGCCCTTGAACTGTATTTCATTTTCTATTTTATTTTAGCTTCCTTTCTTAATTTCTCCAAGGTTGGAGAAGTGGGAGTTAAGAGGCCAAAAATCTTCACTAACATTTCAGAACATTTGCCACCTAAGTGACAGTCACCTCACTCTTCTGAGCTCTGAGGACTTGGAGAGGTCAGGGTTAGCTCCCCACCTACACTCTGGAGCCACATTTAGGGTTTCAGGTGTCAAATCTATTACATGTTTTGTTTTCAGCCAGGGATGACATGAATTGGTGATATAGCACCTTTAGAGTCAGCTGCCACAGGATGGAGGGAAGAACTGGTCTTTTTCCTGGCACGGGCTTTCTTAGGCATGTCAGCTCCAAACTGGAGCCAGAGCCTGCCCTTAGCTGTCTTGGCCCACAACCAAGTTGCAGTATCCCTACTTGGGGAAGCCAGTAGGTATTTTAAGTACTAAGAGGGTCCAAGGCAAAAAGCATTACATTTTTATAGAAGTCCCATGAAAGATGAAATTTTAAGTGATTTCTGAAGAAGTCTGCAAGGAATAGAGGAAGTGGCACCTTCCAGGGTGAGCTGCTACTGCTTTTCAGGAAAGTGGCAATGGAGGAATCTTGGACCGGATGTGAGGCAATGGGATCATGCTTGGTGCAGCCTCAGAGGCATGGGTCAAGTCTGAGTCCATTCCTGCCTATGGGAGTATGAGCCTTAACTGAAAGGCAGTGGTGCAGCAGGGATTGCTGGTCTGTCTCAGCTAGGCTCCACAGAAGAAATCTATATTCATTTCCTATGGTTGCTGGGCAGATTACCACAAGCCAGTGGCTTACAACAGCAGAAATTTATTCTCTCATAGATATGGAGACTAGAAACCAGAAGTCAAGATGTTGGCAGAGTTGTTTCTTCTGGTGGGCCCTGGGAAGAGTGTTCCTAACTGCTAGCAATCCTTGGCAGTCCCTGGCTTTAGATGCATCAACAACCTACTTCTGCCATCCCATAGCATTGTTCCCTTTGTGTATCTGTACCTTTTCTTATAAAGACGCTAGTTATATTGGATTTAAGGCCCACCCCAATCCAGTATGACTTTTTCTTAATGAATTCCACCTGGGACTAGTCATAGTCCCAGGTCATAGTCTCAGGTGCTAGAGGTTACAATTTCAATGGAAATTTATGGAGGACACAATTTCATTTTGGGGGCCAGTACTGGGCCTTCAACTCAGAGTCTGGGTGCTGTCCCTGAGCCCTTTTGCTCAAGGCTAGTGCTCTTGCACTGGAGCCACAGCTTTGCTTCTGGCTTTTTATGGTTATTTAGAGGTAAGAGTCTCTCAGACTTTTCCTGCCAAGGATAGCTGTAAACCCTGATGTCAGATCTCAGCCTCCTGTGTAGCTAAGATTATAGGTGTGAGTCACCAGTGCTCAGCAGGAGGACACAATTTAACCCACTGAAAACCAAGGTTCAAATGAGAATTTCGGTCCAAGTGACTTATTAAAACGGGGCAGGAACAAGGCCTTGATCCCAAGCAAGATTCCCCAGCAAGGTTTAGTTTGATTTTGCAGGTCCATTTTTGGAGTGTAAAGAACCCCTCAAGAGTTTGCCACAACCAGAGATAAGGAAATGGGGCCTTTTATAAGAGGTTATATAGGTTATATAGAGACCTGTGGGTGGCCCTTCAGAAAAAAGCCACAAGTTCTGGCCACCAGAGTGATATTAAAATGGTTCCAAGAAATTTGAGGAAATCTGGTGGAGTGTCCTTATTGTCTGCTCTCTTGTCATCTGTGCCTCTTCTTCTGGAACTATGGAAGGTAGCCTTGGAAGTCTGCCACCCTCTCTCTAGAGATTGTTAGACTGCTTTAGGGTGTCAGACAAGAAACCCCAGTTCTGTCATCTGACATTGTGCCTACTATTTTTTCTGTTGAGCACCACACTTATCTTACGTTTAACTCTGGCCCTAAGCCAGCATTTATTTGGGTAGTTTGATGACCTCTGGGGTGTCTGTTGACCTCTGTATCTTAGTTCTCTGTGAAACTAGAAGTCTGGATTAGAAGGTGCTTGGGATCCCTAGTCTATAAATCCGTATCTAAAGTCAGTAATTTAAATCCTAATTTACATCCACCTGAAGGAACTTGGACTAGATGATGAGGATACAAAGGGAATGAAAACCCAGCCCTTTCTTTTCCCTGCCTTCTCACAGTCCAGTACAGAAGACATTAGGCTCTCAAGCTAGATTTCAGTGGAAGTTTTCTTGGTAGATACGGGACGTATAATATAGTCATAATGCCAATTGCTGTAACAAATGACTCCTCAGAGTGTAAATTTACATCCAGTTCATGTGAAGTACAATATGGATATTTCTGGTCAGTGAGTGATTCTACAAACGCTTGTTGAGAAACCCAGTTTGTGACTCCACTGAACTTTTTCCGGATCATGAGAGCCCTGTGCCGGATTCCCTGTGTGCAGCAGGTAGTGACAGGAGAAGGACACAGGCTGGAGGCTCATTGTCTCCGTCCACTGATAGAATCTGGGTACAAGCAGACCTAACCGCAAGGGGGCTGGGGAAGATGGTCTAGCTGGGTTTCCACAAGAAGAAAAGTTGTTCTGGAGAAAACACAACAGTCGGTGCCACCAGAGACATCCTCGAGGAATTTGTGCTGTAAAGAGCTCACTTTCTTTTTGGCCAAGCTAATGGAAGTGTAACATGAGATAACTGTCCAGATTGAAGTATCTGACTAGGGACTATCTTTATCCAGTTGGGATTACTGAGAGAACACTTATCACAGCCCTGGATGGTTGAAGAATTCTCAAGTAAGCTCTCAGGAAGCACATGCAGGAGATCAAGGCCAGTCTGTACTACACAGGGAGAATGTATGGAAAAAACGGTTTAGTTTTGTTTTGTCTTCAGTGAGAGATTAAGCATTTAGCAGGTTCTGAAATGTAAGAGGGAGCTGAGTGAAGAGGATGAGAGTCTTTTACTCCTCTAGAAGTGAAGCTTCTCCTCGTGTGCTGCCCCTGCCACACATGTGTAGCTTGTGGATAGAGAATGCAGGTTCATGCCATTTGGACAAAGGAACACAGTTGACTCCTATGCTGATAAATTGCCCTCTCTCTCTCTTTCTCTCTCTCTCGCTCTCTCTCTCTCTCCCAGTGACGCTTTTGGCTGCTCCTCCCTCCTACTTCCGAGGCTTCACATTAATTGCTCTCAAAGAGAACAGAGAAGGTGATAAGGAAGAAGACCACGCTGGCACCTTCCAGGTAAGACCGGCTCCCACTTGCGTTTTTCCTGTGGAACCTTCCTGCGATGGTGGGAAGAAGCCATGTGAAAGGTGGGCAGATGCTGAGGAGTCTAAGGAGAAGTGCAAGTGGCTGAGATGACTTCTCATGCAGCTTTTTGACTTTGTTCAGGTGGGCTACCTCTGTCCAAAACCATACTGGAGTAGCAGCAAAGGCTTCAGCTTGGCTTTGTGGGGTTGGGCCCTGGGCAGGGCTCGCTTCTCTCTGGCAGCTCTTGCTGCTCATCTCAGGGCTCTTGGTGCCCTTGGCAGCAGGCGGTCTAACGTGTGGAGAGCACTCAGAACCCTGGCTGGGTCCTGCTGTTTTCCTGGCAGAGGCGTTTTGTGATTGACTGGCAATTCTCAAGTGTAAACGGAACAAGAGCTCAGGACAGCCAGGCTGGAGGGAGTTCAAAGCGCAGGGAAAGGACTATTAAGGGAACGTACAGATTGATTTATGAGGGAAGATTAAAAGAATTACATATGCTTTGCTTGGCCAAATGAACAGGGCCGAGTTTAAGAGGTGGTAATGGTCTTTGAATGTCAGTCCTCCTGAACATGCTCCTCAAGGGGAGGCTTCCTTTGACTTTGTACAAAAGGGCACAGCAAGACGAAAGTGGGTCAGGAGAAGAAAAGGAACCTCAAAGGCCAGGGCCCCGACTGTGAGTCATATTTCACTGTGGAATATTCTTCCAAGGGAAGAGGTAAGAACTCTCTCCCCTCTGAGAAGTGGAAAATCAGAACGCATCCCAGGACTGGGGCGATTCTAGGGGGCCAAATTTGTTGTCTCTGATTTCCATTGTGCTGGAATTCATTTTTATCTGGCATTTGCAAACTAAAATGCAAAAAGAACGCTTCATCTCATAGCTAGCTGCTGAGAACTCTGATACATTCTCGCCCTCCATGTTTCCCTTCCAAAGGCATCTTTTAATTCTTTGGGGCCAGGTTGTAGTCACAGGTTGAATCCTATGATTAAAAAAAAGGAGGGGGGGAGGGCTGGGAAAGTGGCTCAGTGGTAGAGTGCTTGCCTTGCATGCCTGAGGCCCTGGCTGGGTTTGACTCCTCATCACCACATAAGCAGAAAAAGCTGGAAGTAGCACAGGGGCTCAAGTGGTAGAGCACTAGCCTTGAGCTGAAGAGCTAAGGGACAGCGCCCATGCCCCATGTTCACGCCTCACAACTGACAAAAAAAAAAAAAAAAGGTTTCCCATTGCCTGGAATCCTAAGTTTCTGGCCCAGTACTTTTCATTCTGTGCTTTTTGAAATGATTTTCTGTGACGTGTATCTATGTGACTAAATACTAAATATTAGTGATGGTCAGTGCTTGTTGAGTTCTTCTGTGGTCGAAGAACCATACCTACAGGCCTTTTTGTGTCTTAGTTTATCTTTCCTTAGTTCAGTGACTAGGCCTTATCTCTGTACAACCTTAGTACATAAGGGTTGAAACCAGAAAGCTGACATCATTTGTGATGGCAGCTAGTAAGTAGTATGACCAACTCCCTTTATCCAGGTGTCAGACTTGAGAGTCTCAGGTCCTGGCTACATTAACACTCCTGGCACAGACTTCTCCTCCACAGGTGAAGGTGGAGTTTCCCTCTACATGGAAGAGAAGAATGACACATGCTCCTAGCCTAGAATGCGTTCAGATAGAATCTCTCCAGCTTTGTTGTGTTAATATGAGTACAGGCGTGTGTGATTTAGCCAAGTTTTAGTAGCTGAGGGATCCAGATGCCTGAGTGGCAGGAGATATGGATATCTAAAAGAAAGAGTGGATATGTTGGGGACAGAGTTGAACTGAACTTAATCTTCAACAAAGCAAACTTGATTAACTCTATAATGAAATTTACCAACATATACCCAAAGTACTGAAAGCACAAAAATGAACATGAATGATGACACCCCAAATGTCCACTAATAATTGCTTTAAACATATATATGTATATATATATATATATATATGTAACATGGAATATTGCTCAGTCTTAAGAAAGGAAAATTGTAACATACTACAACATAGATACATAGATTAATCTTGAAGATACTATATCACGTGAAAGAAGCCCATCACAAAAGGACAAATACCTTACGATTCTGTGTATAGGAGATACCAAGCGTAGTCAAATTGATAAAGATAGAAACATCAATCCCTAGTGGTTGCCAGAATTTGGAAGAAAGAGGGAATACTATTTAACAAAAGACAGATGGTTGTGGTAAGAGTAACAGTGTGATTTTTTTATGTTATACATATTTTGCCACAACTTAAAACTGGTACTCAGGGTCCAGCCTAAAGGAGACATGACTGAATTTGGCAATGTTCTGGTTTAACTCAGTGAGTTGTTAGTCCTCTGACTCACTGCTTCTGCTGAGCTTGATCTTTGTCCTTGCAACTGATAGGTGAATATAAAGCCCTCCTTAAAATGAGCTATGGGTAAATATTTGCTCGGCGAATGAATGAACCTGTGTCCCTGACTTAGCCCTGCTCATCCCTGCTTCAAAGTTCTGTCTCTTTATGAGCCTTTCTCCTCTTGGAACTTCTCCTATCAGTCCTTAATGTGGTTCTTGAAGCACAGTCTTACCACAACTGCATGTGGGAGCTACACAATCTCAGCCCACCCAGATACTGGGTCAAACCTCAGAGGATAGGGTCCTGCACCCTGCATTTTAGCAAGCTGGGGTGGAGTGGGGAATGTGATGCTTGTTCAGGTTGGAGAAGTGTGGTTGTAATAAGACTCAGACCAGCCCATCCAGTGTCATATCCCCCTTTTTTTGGTGCTGAGTGCTTTCCAGTCATTATTTCATCCTGAGCGTTAAGGCTGTAATGAAGTGAGAATTAGTATCCTGTTTCTCACAGCTGAGGAACTTGTGGCACCAAACAACTAAATGATGTTCCGAAGACTTCCCAGCTCTAAGTAATAAAGCTGAGATTCAAACCCAGGTTGGCCAAACATCAGTGACTCACACATGTAATCTTAGCTACTCATGAGGATTGTGGTTTGAAGCCAGCCTGGGCAGACAAAGCTGAGAGACTGATTTCCAGCAACCGAGCAAAAAAGCTGAGCGTAGAAGTAGAGCTCAAGTGGTAGGGCACAAGCCATGCACACAGACACACACACAGACACACATAGACAGACAGACAGACAGACAGACAGACAGACACACACACACACACACACACACACACACACACACACACACACACACAAAGTGAGAGCGAAATATTCTGAGCGCAAGCCCTCACCACGAACAGACAACATACGCAAATACCCAGGTAGGTCTGGCTCCAGATTCCTGTTTGCTACCAACTGTGTCTGGCTGTGTCACAATGTGCATGTGTTAAGTGAGAAGAGAATCCACTTCAACTTTCTAGTTTAGTCATCTTTTTGTGTTAAACGTTTTATTCTACTACTTTTCTTCTTTTGGCAGGAGAGGGTTTGAACTAGGAACCTTTTGACAAGCATGTACTCTATGGTTTGAGCCACACCTCCTACTTCTTTCCATTGGCAACCTTGTAAAGTGATTTTTCTGATGGTAAAACAATCTGCAAAGGGTTAAGTAAATTCACCAAAGCAACGCAGTACCTCAAGGGCCCAAATATGGTGCTGGAGTTTTTCCTTCTACTTCATTTCCTTCCCTGTCCCACCTTTGAGCTTTCTACACACATCACCTGGTTGCCTTTGGGTCTGAGATGGCCAGGGGGTTGGGGGAAGAGGGGGATCACAGCCCAGGCCCCTAGCTTGCCTCTCCTTCCTAAGACACATGGCACTCTGTCTGTGCTTTCTAGCTTTGGAGGCATTCATTCGTTCATTCTGCAGTTTCTGGTCAGGCAATGGGGACGGGGTGGCTGAGCGGGTGGTCCTGCCCCCCCTGGAACCTGCAGTGTTCTCCTGGTCGTCCCCGGAGTTTGCCTCTGCTGTTGATGGGAGGAGGGGCAGAAGCTCAAGCCATCTCCTAGAATGGGAGCAGCCCATCAAAAACTGTGAATGCGACTGTCATTTTTAAGAAGCATGGTGATTACCAGACAGACATACCTCTTTCTAACACCTCTTCTTTGCAAAATGACAAGTCTGAGGGCTTCATAACTTGCAAAATTCTGATTTTTTTTTGTGCCTGTGTTGGGGTTTGAACTTGAGGACTCACTCACATCTTTTTGTACTCAAGGCTGGCACTCAAACACTTAAGCCACAGTGTGTGTGTGGGGGGGGGGGGGTAGGGAAGGAAGAGAAGAGGGTGAGAGGGAGGGAGAGGGAGAGAGAATCTCTTTTATGAGCTTTCTGGGTGGACTCCTGCTTAATTGAAAGTGACATGGAATTCAGAGACTATGCTCTCTGTGTAAAAGTAAGCCAACAATTCTCATAACTCATATGACTAATAACTCACCACTTCCTGGCTAAGGTAGCCCCTGCCAGCTGCCTGCTCACTCTCTTGCTTTCTTTATGCTCAGCCACAGTGTCCAAGGGAGGTCCTGATCACCCTTATTTACACCTTTCCCTCCCTGCCACTCTGACTCTGAGCTGGACACCTTACTCCTGTCCCTCAGAGTTTTTTCTACGGCATTTATTGCCACCTGGCATGCTGTCCATTTCACTTGTGGCCTGGTGTGCTGTCTACCCCTTCCACTGAACCATGAGCCCCTGCAGGCAGGGATTTTATGATATGCTTCGCTGTTCCTTCCACCCCTGGTGGCAAATCTGGCTAGCACAGAGGAAGCACTCATATTTATTGACAGAATCTTAAGCGCTGCAAGCACCAAAGTTCAAGCTGCTAATTTGTAATACCACTGCTCTATTTTTAATTTATGGCCTATAGGCAACAATGAGGTAACAGTCTTCCAGTGAAAGGCAGACTGCCAAATGCTTGCCTGAGAAGTTCCTCATCAGTACCATACAAACAAGTATCCTGTCTGTCTGTCTCTGTCCATACTGGAGTTTGATCTGGGGGCCTCACACTTGATAGGCAGGCACTCTACCACTTGGACCACCTCAG